AACTCTGAGTTCGGCCATCAAGCCAGTTCCTTATCCATCGAGCGTACATCCATCAAATCCTTGCCTCCTCAGTTTAGTGATAAGGATGTCACGCAGAGTGGTGTCAAAGGATTTTCACAAGTCCAGGTACATGGCATCGGTTGCCTGTTCTTTATCCACCAGGGTCATGACCCATCGTAGAAGGCCACCATATTCGTTAGGCATGATCTGCCCTTGGTGAAGCCATGCTGGCTGTCACCAATCACCTCCTCATTCTCCATGTGCCTTAGCAATGCTTCTAGGAGGATCTGCTCCATGACCTTGCCAGGCACAGAGGTGAGACTGACTGGCCTGTAGTTGCCTGGATCCTCCTTTTGACCTTTTTAAAGATGGGTGTTATGTTTTCCCTTTTCCAGTCAGCGGGAATTTCAGCAGACTGCCATGACTTCTTGAATGTGATGGATAGAGGTTTCCCAAACTCATTTGCCAGTTCTTTCAGGACCCGCGGATGTATTCCATCAGGTTCCATGGATTTGTGCACCTTCAGGTTCCTCGGATGTTCCTGAACTACATCGTCACTGACCATGGGTGGCTCTCCATTCTCCCAGTCCCTGCCCTTGCCTTTCGTGACTCTGGACATATGGCTTGTGCCCTTTTCAGTGAAGACCGAGGCAAAAAAATGATTGAGCACCTCAGCCTTCTCCATATCCTGGGAAGCCTGTTCGCCCATTTCCTTCTGCAGAGGGCCCACATTTTCCTTATCTTCTTCTTATCCCCTGTGTACCTATAGAAGCCCTTCTTGTTGGCCTTGATGTCCCTGGCCAGGTTCAATTCTGTCAGGGCTTTACCTTTCCTGACCTGATCCCAGACTTCTTGGACTGATAATAATTGATAATACTTTCAAATAATACAGTACCATCTTGCTTCAGGTGTTGTTTGGTTTGTTTGGTTGTTTTTTTTAAATTAATGATTTCTGTTTTGTTTTCTGAGGATACTAATTAGGTTATGTGTAAATAAAAGCTTTTTTCTATATCTTACTCTGTAAATAGCACTTAGGGGTTTTGAAGCTGCTCAATACTAGTGTTGTAATTGTTTTTCTTTCTTCCTGTCTTTTCACTAGTCATTTAAAAGAAGATTTTTCCACTTAATCCAACTTGGTGATGGATCCTATAATCTCAATTTCTACAAAGATGAAAAAATATCGAAAGAACCTAAAGGATCAATCTTTCTAGATTCATGCATGGGTGTGGTTCAGGTAATTGTAGTTATTCTGCCTGTTTTTTGTGTAATTCTGTATTCGATAGCAAATGGGTTTAAGAAAAAATAAGGATAACGTTTGTCAGATGCAGGTAAGTACCTGTTATACAGAGGAACACTTAGTCACGTTTCATCTTGCAAAAAAAGTGAATGAGATTTCAAAGGGTAGGAGGCTGAATTTTCAAAATCTTCTTGGAAAGAATACAAATTACTAGTTGATGTCAAGTATTTATCAAAGTATCAAACAAAATTTTATGGCAAACACGCAAAAAACCCGAATTTTTAAATCATGGATAAGTAATGAGAGCATAAAATGTAAGTTCATTTCTGTTATGTTTTGTGCTTACATGAGCTGTAAAATACTTCGCATAGCTTTTTGTGGGGGATTTTTGTTGTGGGAATTGTATTAACTTCAACCACTCTTCCAGTTGCTTTTGTTTGAGCTTTACAATGTTACTGTTGTGTGCTTTTCTTTGTTTTAGAAAGTTAAGAGCTTTGGTAAAATGTTTGTCAGTAACAAGTGCCAAAGAAAAGATTGGTTTTTTTTCCTTGGGCTTCTGTTATGTATTTACAGTACAGCATGTAACTGTTTCATTGGGCACAGCATACCTGAAAAAAAACTCTTGGGTTTTAGAGTTTTGTTAACTTGGATAGAAATAGGCAAAGTTTAATAGAAATGTCTTTCTTAAGTAATAACTATTTGAGTATAAATTTATTTGAAGATTTATGCAGAAATACGTAACAGCTTTACAGAGGATTATTTTTTTCCAAATATTGTCATAAAGTTTTTGGACACGCATTTAATAGAAACTTTGCAGGGGAAGTTTTATAACTGTAATAAACCTAATCGTACTGCAAGTTGTGTGTACAGATACACACAAATTGGTTTGCCTTAAGGGTATAATTTTGGTCAAGTCCACTAAAATGAGTTTGATTTTTTGTTTTTAAAATAAAGCAACACATTAAAAAAGTGGTTCCTAAATACAGCTGTAGTCTTTGCCTTGCACTTAAAATGTATCTTTCCTTCTGCTCCTCAGCTTCCTCTGATTTGGCATCCGCCTCTCTGATAACAGAAATTCTTTATCTTCTGGGCTCTTCCTCGTCCCTTTTGTTTCCCACTTAGGTGGTGGCTTGTTTCTGGTTCTCAGCCTGTGGCTCTGGTACAGGCTGTTGTGGGCACTAAAACATTAGTTTACAAGATCAGAAAACATTGAGATTTTCAGAAGTTACAGTTGAAAATACTGAAGTATACTGAGACTTTTCCACATCACAGAGCAGTGCAGTCACATAATATATACAGTGTATAGATTCGCATGTAGTCATATAGTGAGTAGGCATAGTAACTCTAATCCAGTGATTTCTGAAAACTGGGAAGTGTAATATGTCTAGGTATTACATGGTGAAAGTTAAAGGTTACTGCCTTTTTTTTTTTCCATTCAGTACTGATTTTAATTGGTAAGACTGCTTTAGGTATGGAGGCCGTATATTTGTTTGGATCCTCCTTAACAGAAACTAAGCTGTGTTAGCTGACTCTTTTGCCAACCAGTAGTTAGTTAATTGAAAAATCTGATGTGTAACAAAACTAAAATTTTAAATTGATGATAAAGTAGAATTTTCATTTGACTTGTGAATTCATTCCCAGGACCATGAGTCAGGCTATTTGAAACCTTGATTTAAAGTGTGCAAAAAAAATGACAACAACCGTTGAGGAACAAGGGAGGATTTAAGTCCAACTTTCATGTATATTAAAAAAAAAAAAAAGGCAATATTAGGGCATTTCAGGTTTGAGGTTGGTTATGATTTAACCTCTGCTATAAAATGCAAATGATACTCAAATATTGATAGAGTTTCAGGCTTTTTTTTTTAATCAGTAGATCTGAGTACTTACAGACTTGATATTTGGACATTGGGGTTTTTTGAGTTTTTGGTTTTGGGGAGGTTAAATGCTTACAAAGCACAATGATGAGGTGAAACTGAAAAATGAGCTGTTATCTTTCATACTTCCACTTGTTGCAGTGGTCTGAAGAATTTCAAGGTCAAATGTCAAGACAAGAGAAAGTGTAATTATAATCTGAATGTTCAAAATATGCAACTATTTTTATTAAAAGATCTGAAATACCTGTAACTTTGATTGTGAATAGAGAGTATGTAATGATATTTTAAAGATCTTTTACTTTCTTATAGAACAATAAAGTCAGACGTTTTGCATTTGAGCTCAAGATGCAAGACAAGAGTAGTTACCTTTTAGCTGCAGATAGTGAACTTGAAATGGAAGAATGGATAAACACACTGAACAAAATCCTACAGCTTAACTTCGAGGCTGCAATGCAAGAAAAAAGAAATGGAGAGTCTCATGAAGGTAAGCAGGGTTTTGACAAGGAGTAATGGGTTTAAATTAAAAGTGGGGAGGTTTAGATTGGATATCAGGAAAAAGTTCTTCCCGGAGAGGGTGGTGAGGCACTGGAACAGGTTGCCCAGAGAAGCTGTGGATGCCCCATGCCTGGAAGTGTTCAAGGCCAGGCTGGATGAGGCTTTGAGCAACCTGGTCTAGTGGAAGGTGTCCCTGCCTATGGCAGGGGGGTTGGGACTAGATGTTCTTTAAGGTCCCTTCCAACCCAAACCATTCTGTGATTCTAAGTGCTATATGGTTATGTGATCATACCTGTGTGCATGCCTCTAGAAAGAAAGGCTTCATTGTGGCTAAATTATTTTGTTTTCTTTGGTCTTAGAAATTAGAGGCTTTTTCACTGCCTGTTTGAACTGATGAGAGTTTTGACCTTTTGGCATTAAAAAGCACTCTTCTATATTGATTCCAGTTGAGTCAAGTCCAGAAGAGAATAATGAGGCTGATCAGAACACTAGAAAAATAGAAGCCACAATGGAAAATAAGCACTGAGGTAGTTTAAGGAAAAGAGAAAACTTAGGAGTGACTTGTTTTGAAATGTGTAAAATGCTGCTGAAAAATTGAATAATCTGTTTTGTGGTGACTGTAGGTAGAAAAATAAGAAACTGTGGTTGCAGTGAAAGACTTCAAACTTAGATGTAATTCCCTTGACCACAAATACTTCCCTCAAATACTGAAATAAATTGTTTGGGTGTAGAATCTTTTCTAGGTAAGGCAGATAGCTGCAAGGAATGTGACGTAGGTATAACTGATAGTTTGATGACAAAAGGACAGTTTAGATGTCCTTTTGTGCATGAGATCAAACATACATATCCAGAAGAACCTGGGAGACGTTATGGAACGTTGTTCTGCTTATAAATACCACAGTATACCGAAAGAGATCATTCGAGTTTAAATGTGGGTATCACATTCTGTATGCATGGTGTATGCAGCAACAGCAAATGCGCTGTAAATCCAGTAACCGTTGGAGAGTAGAGCTGGGAACCTAGTGAACAGAGGGGACGTGTTTTGAAATCAAGTTTCAGTGCGTAGTGGAAAGTGTAATGTAAATTTACGCAGTGAGTATCCCCTTTCCCTGTGAAGATATAAAATTAATACTAAAGCTATTTTCTAGGTAAGTTTAGACATAACTGCTGCTTTACCAATTTATGTAACATGTTGCATTCTCCAAGAACTCACTGCATCAAATTGAAACGGTTGTCATCCGCAACCTTTTTATGTTAACAGTTGTCTTTTTTGAGGGGGTAGGAGTTAGTTAAAAAAAAAAAAAAAAACCAAAAAAAACAAAACCCCACAAAAAAAACCCCAAAACAAACAAACAAAAAACCCCACACCCAACCAGAAGTATTTTTGCTATGGAATTTTGAGAAGCTTGAGGGTTTTTTTAGTGTTTGGGTCTTTTGGGGGGGGGAAAAGGTTTATTTTTTTTAATATTTTTTTAAAATGTGATTTTATGATTTCAGATGATGAACAAAGCAAAATGGAAAGCTCATCAAGTAGTTTTGATAACTACTATCCTGAAATTGCCAAGGTAATACATACTGTGAATGCCAGCTCGGGATATGAAGTACTAAACATAAGTTAGCCACGTAACCTTTCAGTAAAGGTATGGTATTGGCTTCTAGCTAATACCAGTTAGTTTGTTGTGCTTTGAGTTTAGAATCTCTTTCATGAATAGGTGTGGTTATTGAGCTTCTTTAATTTCTTCTTTCTGGAAGCAAAACTTCTACTCTCATGAAGTTGCTTAGATAAATCTTGACATACTGTTTAAAACCAGCATGTTTTAGTGTTTTATTAGTTTATTGTATTTTACGTACTTTGTTATTGCATGCAGATAAGTGCAAAAATATTTCTATAGGAATCTTGTTCTACTAAAGTCAAGTTATATTTTTATGGTTAGAAGTCCAGAGGAGCTTAATAACAGGGATGATGTAAATGTATTTGAAGATGTTTGTGTGTCTAAGGAGCTGGCAAGTTCATGGATACTACCTGTATGGCCATGGTTCCTACTTTTCAGTTTTGTTCTTACAGCGGTGTGGTAGAAATAGAGATAAGAATAAAATAAAAATACATAGAAAATAACAGCAATTCTTCCTCAAACCATTTACAGACTTAATTTCCGTTAAATAAGTGACTTGTGTGTTGCAATAAGTTTTTCCGAGTTTTCTAAGGAAGAAATTCTTGTTCAGTCACTTGAGGACTGAAGTCTTTGACCTTTTTCTATTGAAATTACAGAATCCTTCCTGTGACTTCCTTACTTTTTTTATTCTGTGTGGCACAGCCTGTGGTCTTGAAACTTTTCTGCTTGACCATGCTCTGGAATGCTCTTCCCTTTTCTGAGGATCCATCTGACCTAGAAGCTACTCCTGATGGGAGTGCAGTTTATCAACTGAGAATAATCTGTAAAACAAATTCTATTACAATAGCTAACGTATCAAAAGATCCACTCAGAATACATTAGAGGCTTTTAGCACCCAAATTGGTTGGCTGACTTAATTCTTTCTATGGCTGCTTTGTAATCAATTTAGCACATGTACACACAAAGCTGTTATGTGATAATCTAACTGCAGCAATGCCAGGATTTGGATATTAATTTGCATTGTGTTGCATACAATCAAGTTTTCTTTGGAAGAGCTGTAAGCATCAAACAGAATACTTACATGAGGCTATAAAAATTTTATTTTAGAAACAACTATAAAATTAGATGCTCTTATTGCATGGAAGATTTTTCTTTCTTTGTAGTCAGAGTTATTGGAATGTTTAGGTTCCATATAACTTTGAGAGGACTTTTATTCAGGGCTGCAGCACCTGCATATAGTTTTAGTACTACAGATGCTGCTTCCGGTTTCCATAACCTTCTGATCAGAAGCATGCAGCACTTTTTAAGCTAGGTGTTTTTCTAATGTATTTTTTTCAGCTCATTATGTACTGGCTTTTTTTACATCCTAGTTATAACCCATTTAAACTTGTTTCATTCAAAATAAGTTTTTAAGTTTTCCCTTTTTCGTTTATTTTTACTAAATACTACCTTTCAAAATAACTTGCTCGAATGTATTTTTTTAGCCTTTTTTCCCGGACACGTACAGTGAAAAATTTACATCAGTACACCGTTTGTGCCTTAACTTGATTACTTCATATAAATGCTGTTTGAGGATTTTTTTGTCCTCTGTTCTTTCTTGCATTGTCTTTTCAGTTGTTATTGTTTGGCTTGCTTCTTTTTTCCCTGGTGGAAGACTTAAAAAGCATTGAGCCTCCTTTTAGAAGAGTTTATAGTTGCTCTATTATTTTTGTTGGTTCTAGGGGGAGATTTTCGCAACAGTTGACCTCATATCCTTATGAGGAAAGAGAAATTCCTTCAGGGGTGATTGTAGAGCACCTGACAATAGGGGAAGGGGGGGAGAGGGCCGGAGGGTGTGTGTGTGTGTAAACTGTCTTCCTAGGGAAGGTTTAACCCTTGTGAGTATGAAGGCCTCCAGGCCTTTGTCTTTCTTTCAATGGCTGTTAGCTTATAACACAAACTAAATAAGATGGTATTGTGCACTTCAGTGCATGGATGTGCACACATATATCCATGTCTGTCTGTCCTGCCTGCTTTAATCCTAGAATCATAGAATGGTTTGGGTTAGAAGGGACCTTTAAAGGTCATCTAGTTGCAACTCTCCTGCCATGGGAAGGGACACCTTCCACTAGACCAGGTTGCACAGTGTTACTTCCTGTTCCTTTTATGTGTAACTTAAGTACCAAGCGTGAATGTAGGCTTTTTGTTGTTGCTTTAATATTCACAAAAAACAAATTAGACCTCTTTCTTTTAATAACTATGGGACTGTCATGATCAGCGTGCCCAAATGCTTCCTTAACCATTACGGGTCCCTGTATTCCTTGAGGTCAGAAAACATTGTCCCTGTTTTATAGATGAAGTGGGATTACAGGGTCATTGCCATGCTGTAGACAGGGTCGAATGAGTACATACATTTTCAGTTCCTGACTTCTGACAGACTGCTCCTCATTTGTCAGTCAAAAATGCATATTTTTGTCTTGTCTTTAGTGCACAAAACACCAAAGAATCTAAAACTATTCAAGGTGCTTTACCTGAAACAGTTTTCCTTGCTCTTATGACTAGATCATCTTCCTCTTCAGCTCTTGCCACTGACTATTCCTTTTCCAAAATGTACATGCAACCTTATTGCTGTCTTTAAACTTCTTCACAGTTTAGTCCGGTATTTCTCCTTTGTACCGCCTTTGGACAAGCAAACCCTGGCAATACTTTGCTGATATCGAGTGTCTGGGTCTTGTCTGTCACAGCAGCTCTTGTCTCTTCTCCTGTGTGTGTTAAAGACAGCAAAGTAAAGTAAATGAAATCTGTTAGAGCCCCTGTACTCATCCTTTAAGTCAAATTCTTCTTATTGTTATCAACCTAAAATAGGATTTTGAGCTCAAAGAGCTAATGGGTTTTTGTTTTTTCTGGAAACATAGTAGGAGTTTCTTCAATACCTAGCAAAACAGATGTAGACAGTAGATCACTTCCAGCTGATGGTCAGTGATGAACATATTGGGTTGGTAGATTCTTTTAACCCTTGCAGGCTGATCCAAAAGTAGACACCTGTTGGTAACATAATACTTTGTATCCCTCTTTAGCCAGCTACTACTTTGGGAATGACAACTCTCCTACATGGGTATTTTTGGTGCACGTGTATGTCCATTTGTCATGTCCCATGACTTGAGAAATCATAGAACTCTCTTTAAATAATACCCTTTTTTTGGAAAAAGTAACCTCTCTATGCTATCAGTCTTCACATTCTGTTTTGTTCCACTTGTTTTTTACTGCTAATAGGTAAGCATCCGCAAATCCCAGGCAGGATCAGTCTACAGTGTGCTCTGCAAAGTAACTTTTAAGTGTGAGGGGTTTATCTTTTGGAAGTTTTTTGGGTTTTTCCATCTACCCACAGGAAAACCACTTCTTTGGCAGCAGAGCTCAAGAAAAGAATAAAAAAAAAAAAAGAAAACCCACAAGAAAAAGAAGAGTTCTGATGTTGTTTCTTAATTTAACTAACCTGTTGTTTCCTGAGCAATGTTGAGCTCTCAGGATAGTTCTGAGCTTTAACCTACACTCATACTTACTTTCTTTTAAAAATAAAATAGTGTTATGAAACTTCTTTTATCATTTAAGGAGGTGAAGTGCTCACTCTGTGAGCTACACTGGATTATACTTCCCATGAGCTTGGAAGGTTACATGTTGCTGATGTACTTTGTGTTTTGAGGCCTGGAAAAGCCTTTAGAGGAGAGTAGCCTGCTCACTTTTTACTCTGACATGATGGAGCAATTTAAACCACGGAGTTGCAAAGCTTAGTTAAAGAGAGAAGAGTACCTGAATTAAAAACAAGTAAAGCTTTGAACATCCCAGAAAAGGAATGTAATTGAAAACCATTTTCATTTAATAGCATGGTACTAATAATCTTATTTCTCTTATTTTAAACAGACTACCAGAGAAGCAGAAATCAAGTTGAAAAGTGAAAGCAGAGTTAAACTTTTTGCCTTGGATCCAGATGCCCAGGTTAGACTTTTTTGCAAGGAAGCATGTTATTTTATGCTGATCCTTTTGAGATGAGAAACAACTTGCCTTAATTTTTCTTTTCTGTTTTTAAAGAAACTTGACTTTTCTGGTATTGAACCAGAAGCGAAGCCATTTGAAGAGAAATTTGGAAAGAAAATCCTTGTGAAGTGTAATGACTTAGCTTTTAATTTGCAAAGCTGTGTTGCAGAAAATGAGGAAGGACCAACAACAAATGTAAATAATTCATCTTAATTCTTTTCTGTTAATATTGTAATGAATGTCTTAGTATTTTGTTGGCAGTGTTTTTAATGGCAGAAATTCCTTGCTGTGAATGAGGAATGCATATTGTGTTTTTTTTTTTTCTAATCCTTTAAATCAAAATGAGAGCCTAAATCCTACAAAAAGTAACTTGGCTACTAATCTTTGTGTTGTAGAAAGTGGAATTTTTCTTTTACTTTCTTTTACACCTTGTCAGTAACACCTAGAGCAATGGCTGTGTGTAACTGTTTATCAAAATGTTACTCATTTCCTTTCATACACATTGTAACAGAAGTATGGATGACAGCAATGACACGATTCTTTTTTTAAATGTCTAGGTAGAACCTTTCTTTGTCACATTATCGCTGTTTGATATTAAAAACAACCGGAAAATTTCAGCAGATTTCCATGTTGATTTGAACCACGCCTCGGTAAGGCAGATGATATCCAGTTCATCTCAACAAATGATGAATGGCAGCCGTGACAGCTTACATAGAATTCAGGACATTCATGAAACTGTGTTACAATATCCAAAGCAGGTAAGAACTAGTAAGCTGAAGAATTAGTAGGATTTTGGATACAAGGTGATTTTTCCTACATGCTTTGGTTGGCTTGGTATTATTGTAATGTAAAATGTGTGTGCATTTTCTTTTAATATTTATCCCTTGTTTTATTTCTAGGGAATATTCTCAGTCACATGTCCTCATACTGACATCTTCCTTGTGGCTAGAATAGAAAAAGTACTACAGGGAAGTATTACACATTGTGCTGAACCATATATGAAAAGTTCAGATTCTTCAAAGGTATGTTATCTTCTTCCGTGGCACAGGTAAAAATGCTGAGGCAAGACAGGCCAACTTGAAATTGAGAAATATCAGTGAAAAGCTTACTTCTTTTGTAGGAAATTCAGATTACTGGATGATTTGATTTAGTAAGTTGTAGTTATTACTAGTAACTATTATGAATTAAAATGTTATGTCTTGCATATTATTGGGAAACATTTAGCTTTTTATAATTGTGATAATCTATGATTTTTATAATGGTTTTAAGCTGATTTGGCAAAAGAATATTAGACCTCAGTATGAATGTTGAGTTGAAAGTTGTTGAACAATGAAATATTAAATACAGGTCAAATTAACTGTATGTCTGACTTAGTTAATGCATCTTATTTACTATATCATTGTTGTTGACCTTTCCTTTGTGTCACTTTTTGATGGCCATAGTTTACTGTAGCATTATCTGCCCTCTTGCTGTGTCTTCCTGCAGAACCATTGAGCTCATTAAGCCTCTGTTTTTATGTATAAAATGCTATGTGGATTTGATAGCACTCTGAATCACTTTTGGAAATAAGCCACTGAAACATTTTAAGTTTACAGGAGTTTAGGGTGTTGTAACATTTTAATGTTTTCGGAAACATATCTAAAAGGAGCTTTGTGGATTGCTGCTTCTTGTCTGTCACTGAAGAAATAGTTTTATTTTGTCTATTTACAGTTGTGGTTAAGTAGCTGGACTGGGATACTAGGAGAAAAGTGTTTTTTGTCAGCAGTGTTAGCTGTTTTTAGCTAGTGAAAGGGAAGAAGGAAGGGTTAACTTTCAGTTTCTGCAGAACAGTGTTCTTTCCTACTGACTTAATGCTGGCTAAGCTATATGTAAAAAACATGCATTTTTCACTTGGTCTTAATGTAGATCAGACTACTGATTTGCTTTTCCACGAATACTTGAATTTTTTTTTTTAGTAATCGTTCAAAAACAGCAGCTTTGTATTTTAGGAATCTGGTTTTGAAATGTATGTTGGCTGTTACTGAGTTAAACTAAACCTGAATCGAGTAACTGATTTTGATGGTCTTGGGCCTGAGCCACATGGGAAAGTGAAGAAAGCTCAAGTGTTCACAAATTTGATACTGAGTGCTAGACTTGTTTTGCCCCGTACTGCAGGAGTTGCCAATAGGAACATTCATGGTTATATTAACTTTATGCTGTCTGTTTCTGGTATTCATTTGCTTATAATTTTATACAATTGAACACTTAGTTTGAAATTTTTTCTGGCTTTGTTCTCTGGGATTGCGCAGTATTAATTTGAAACAAAACAGACGGTGCCAGCTGTACAGGCCTTCATCTGTGTCACAGCAAGTTCCAGTTCCCTGCAGAATTACCACTCTAGACAAGACGGGAGAATGGAATCAGCAAATTCTGTAGCTGAGAGATCACTTGTTTTACTGTTAAAATTCACTGAATACAGTGAATTAATGGTGATTGCTTATCAAGGTTCTATGCATCTGGGTGCAGTTTCCCCCTTTTTAAAGGAAAGGGTAATGGAGAGTTGGCTCAAACACACATAGATGGAAGGAGCTCTTCCTAATGTCAACAGCATGGATCAGAGACAGCGTTCAGGCAGGTTTACTTCATGTTTTTCTGCCTCTGGCAAATAGTTCTGCTCTGTGTAGGAATATATGAGAAGCTGGTTTGGGGAATAGAGAAGCCCATTGCTCTCTCATAGGAGCTTCTGCTTTAGCTCAAGAGGTTCAGCTTGGTGTTCACATCTCAAACTAGTGGGTTTCTAGCTCTGATTGTTACACGTGTTGGTTGTATATAATGGAATTGCTCCTTCACTCAGAAGTTAACAGAACCAAAAACTTGAACTTTTAGCGAAAACAGTGTCACGATGTTCATACGTAGGATTGTCCATGTGATCCTCACACAACTCCTCCCCAAATTCCATGTCTACTTGCAATACAAATACTGCAGAGTATTTTGCTATTTACACTGCAGGAATGGGTTCTGGTATATAGAGTTGGGTGATGAACTGGGGAGTAAGTGTGGGGGGAAATTTTTTAACTGGATTGACAGTTTAGTCTTAAAAAACAGTCGAATTTTTCTCTAGCTTTCATGAGAGTTTCATATATAATATTTTTTCTTGCTTAATTGAGTATGTATCATTGAGGGTTTAATAGATCTGTGTTCACCCATGAAGTGCTGTGAAATCAGCAGGTCCTGCCTAACCTGAACTTAGTTGTTAAGAGGTACTTTCATTTCTTTTACTCACATAGTTAGTCTAAATTTTCTAATTCCTATCGTTGTCAGTATGTGTTTGTTTTCTTGTGTACTAATGGTGCAAAAAATGTAGTTTTAAAACGTGGCTGTGCCTTATGCCCCTTGCAGGTTGCACAGAAAGTTTTGAAGAACGCTAAGCAGGCATGCCAGAGATTAGGTCAATATAGAATGCCTTTTGCCTGGGCAGCTAGGTAAGGACAGATCTTGTCAACCTCTATTTTTTCCTTACTTTCTTTAACATTGTTTTCTGCATCTCACTTCATGTAAAACTTAATGTGCTATTTAAATTATTTCTTGCTTTACTTTCAATTAACCAGATATTTCTGACAAACTTGTGCTTCAGCTCTGTAGTAGCAAAAGAAGTTATAAACGTTCATCGTATTATTATTCAAACTATTGAATCTTACCAGCTGTTTTCTATTGTTGATTTTTTAAAATTTTACTAAGAATGAAATGGTCCACGCTTGTTTTGTTGGACTGAGCTATTTATATGTTAAAATTCACCTACAGTGATAAGAGTATTAAATGCTTAATATGAAGGATAGTGCAGTATGTTTTAATTTGTAGTAAAGAAATTTCCTGAAGTGAATTTCATCACTTTTGTAAACTCAGCTGAAAGCAGGATTTTTGACTTTCAGGACGCTGTTTAAAGATGCCTCAGGAACCCTGGATAAAAATGCAAGATTTTCTCCTCTCTTCAGACAAGACAGTAACAAACTTTCAAATGAAGACATGCTGAAATTGTTAGCAGATTTCAGGAAGTAAGTCTAATTTCCCCACTTGAAAAAGCAAACAAACCAACACACCCTAACCCCTCTCGCTACCCCCAAACCCCACAATTTTTTGTTATAGTCTGGAACTGGAGGATCAAATCTTTGGATATATGTATTTATGTTTTTCACTTCAAATATATAAGTTGTATAAATATAATCAAGGCCTTCATACAAACTACAGATCTTCCCTTTGCAGGGCTGAAGTATTAATGCCACGTCTAACTTGCAGTAGCCATCATCTCCTGAAATAGCTCTGTTTTATGAGTTATTCTTGCATAAAACACTCTTCTGAATCTCAAAGGAAAACAAGTACGAGCATAAATCATATGTTCGCTGGCCTTGGACAGAGAGTCAGCTCTCAGGGAGAGGAATTCAAGCCAATCCAGCCCACCTTCCGTGGGACTGCATGTGGCTTGAGGTGCCTTAAATAACAAAACATTGATCATCCTTTTAACAAAGTTTTCCTAAAAACTGCATCAGTTTGTGTGGAAGGCTTAAGAATCTGTTACTGGCAGATGACCCTATTAATAAATTAGTTTTAATCCTCTTTCTTATTAAATAGGATGTAAAAATAATAGAGCAATCTTTGCTGCTTTGCAAAGGCATTTCCATTTCTGTTGTGGTACAGTTAGCTGGAGTTATTTTAATTGGAATAGTTGCTAATTGCAGAAGGCTTGGGCTACAGTTTATTCTTGCCTACCAAATCTGATAAGGAAATGAGGTTTGAAATAGGTATTTTAATTCCATTTTAGCAAGCTGCTTAAAGTTTCATTGAAGTTGACACAGCATTGAAATCGCTGTGCACTGATACACCTTGCCATGAACAATGTTACTGAAACTGAAACTAATACATTAAATTAGCCTGGCACATCACTTTACTTTGTGAATTCAAGAAATGCTTTTGGTTATTTCAGCATCCTGTTTGTCAAATTGTGTACAGTGTTTCACAGGAATTTTAGTAAGAAAGAGATTGTAATGTCTAAGGCTTCTATAGCAATTAGAATCCAGACTCCAACCAGAAAAAGTTTGTTTCAGAGCATGGGATTTCATTTTGGGAAAACTTGGCATCCACATTCCTTTGCGATAATTTTTTTTAAAAAAGCATGGTACTGACTGTCTTTATTCATAAAGGGTTCTGGACTGCTGTTTTAACATGGAAGATACTCCTGCTTCAAGAGTAGAAGATGCATTTTGTTAACATTTTCTCTCCCTGGTTGCTGTTCCCTCCAAATTTAACCCATTATCATAAATGCTTGTCACTGACCATTGAGATTTAACAAGCTTACTTCTGGGTCCCCTCTTTGCTGCAGCTGATAGGTTTTGTTTGCCATGTAGTAACTCACTATCTTTAACAATATTTTTCATTTTGATTTAAAGAAAGAAAAACATCATGCTTTTTCTGAATCTTTTCCACGTTTGTGAATGAAGTGTCACCTTTTTTTTGAGAATTTAAAGGATGAGAAAGATGTGAATCTAGGGAAAAAGCAAGATCAGATCAGTCATCCACCCCCAAGCCACCTTTCCTCTCATACTCCTGTTTCAGGATATTACTTTTGCCTCCATTTCCCATTATCTCTGTTCTCTGGCATCCGATAGTTTTGCATTTAGCCTGACTTTGAATTTTTTTTTCCTTCCTATAGACCTGAAAAGATGGCCAAACTTCCTGTTATTTTAGGAAATCTGGATGTTACGATTGATAATGTGTCACCAGATTTTCCAAGTAAGTATTAATAAACACTGTTAAATGGGCATTCAGGCTTTCTCTCTTCAGTTATTTATTAATTTTTTATGTGTTTTCAGATTATGTTAACTCATCATACATTCCCATGAAACAGTTTGAAAATAGTACCAAGGCACTAATAACGTTTGAAGTAGAGGAATTTGTTCCTTGTATACCAAAACACACTCAGCCTTTCACCATCTACAACAATCATCTTTATGTTTATCCAAAGCACTTGAAATATGACAGTCAGAAATCTTTTGCAAAGGTAAGTACAGGAGAGCTGTACATTCTTCTCTCTGGTTTGGTTAAGATTGTTTACGTCTTATAATTTTTTGTGATCATCCTTACAATTAAGTGTTTGGGGTTTTGTTTTTAAATACTACTTTAGGCAAGAAATATTGCAGTATGCATTGAATTCAAGGATTCTGACGAAGAGGATTCTTTGCCCTTGAAGGTTAGTCTTTTTTGGTTTTTTGCGGCCGATAAAATAGCGAACAGTTAGCTAAGAAGCACTGTGTTACTTGATTTATGTAGTTAGGGATCGCAGATTTCTGTCCTCCTGTTTCATTTGGCATAAGAGTAACTTCTCCATGACTTGCTTGTTTTTGGTATGAAAGAGCGGTAAAGAACCCTCAAAGCATTTTATTTCTTTATAGCAACAAGAATTCCAAGAATAAACTTGTTGCAAACAAAGGAGGCTCTTGCATGCTTCATAGGAGGAATTCTTTAAGCTAAAACTTCAGAGGCAAGCTCTGTGTTTGTTCATGAGCTACCACAGTGTGTAAGAGGTCCCTGGAAGAACAATAATAGAAAAATGTGTGGGAATCCTGAAGTAAAATCGTTGTCGGCTCTCCTGCTCAGCAGACAGTCTACAAATCATGTAATTTACTGTCTGTGCAGAGGAACCAAGTTGAACACAAGTTAACGTATTTCAAATTCTAGGTGAAATGGATTCTAAGCTGAAAGTGAAAGATCATCACTGTTTTCATTGTTCTTCCTTTACTTTTTCCTTTTTTTTTTTCTTTTCCTATTTTTAGTGTATCTATGGTAGGCCAGGTGGACCGGTGTTTACTAGAAGTGCGTTTGCTGCTGTTCTGCATCACCATCAAAATCCAGAGTTTTATGATGAGGTAAGCTACCTTTTTGAGGTAACTTTTACTGGTTTAGGTGTTATGTAAATTTCAAAAATACAAGCAGATATTTGAGGATTGTGACGTTCTTGATAATGATTTCTGTTAAATCAGATTCCCCCATTTTACTGTAAGTTCTGTTAAGTTTGGTGTGTGATTCTTGATCTTGCTTCAAATAACATAGAACCTAGAATTACTTTTTCAGTGTGCAGCCAGTAAGGCATGTCACTGCTCTAGCTGAAAACTTCTACGAAGGTTGTGATTCTTTGTCTTCTTTCAGATTAAAATAGAATTGCCCACTCAGTTACATGAAAAGCACCATTTGTTGTTCACCTTCTACCATGTCAGTTGTGATAATTCAAGCAAAGGGAGTACAAAGAAGAAGGATGTTGTTGAAACACAAGGTTTGTGTGCTAATGCTGTAATTTCAGTAACTACTGGGGAGATTTTATAATTATGAGTTCTGTGATCCATACAATGCTTTCTAATTACATTATACTGTCTGAAGGATCTCATTAAGTACTTAGTTTAAACATTTCAAATGTTTTAGAATGTCTATCAAGCGTATGGGTTTTTTAAACTCTGACAATTGTTTTACCTTTTTAATTATTTCTAATCCTTTGAGTTCAAATCAGTTGGTGCTTACAGTAACATTTTCTGTCTTATGAATTACTTATCAGAAGTGTACAGGAAGACTTCTGTAAGGATTTTTGTAAAGATTCACAACGTATTTTAAATAACTTGTCTTTTGTGTTCCATAGTTGGGTATTCTTGGCTTCCTCTAATAAAAGATGGAAGAGTGGTGACCAATGAGCAACACATCCCAGTGTCAGCAAATCTTCCATCAGGCTATCTTAGCTATCAAGAAGTGGGGGTTGGAAAGGTACGTTGTAAAACATCACTCTAATATTTAAAAAAAAAAAAAAGACAAATGTGGAGAGAAGGTCTGCTTGTAATTCTGATAAGATTGGTTGGAAAGGTACGTTGTAAAACATTGCTCTAATATTTAAAAAAACAAAAAAAGACAAATGTGGGGAGAAGATCTGCTTGTAATTCTGATAAGATATAAGTCATTTTCTAGTAGAACTTTTTTTATATGGTTGAAATGGAGTGCTTTGCAAAAGTGAGACACCTGACTTAGAGGAAACAAACAAACCAACCCAAACAGAAATGGGAGACAAAGCTTATGACTAAATTCTGACTTCTACAAGAGTTTGAATCAGCCCGCCCTCATATAGATTTTTTTGTTTACATTAAGTACTTATTTCTGTTATTATTTAGCTGGTGACTTTAGGAAATGTTGAAGTTTGGCTTTTTTGTAGTAATATTTAACTAGAAGTTACAGTAATTTTGAAATATATTAAAGCTATTTTGAGTTTATGAAAATATGCAAATAAACTGAAGTCCTTTACTAAATTTTTTTAGCATTTCATGCTGTCTCCTTTCAGTAAGTCCTTTATTCCTGAAAAAGTCTTTCTTACATCTTGATTTTTGTGATCTTTCTACTTCACTAGTAAAATTTATTGTTGTATTTTTCAAAGCAGAAAGCTTGCAAAATTGTAGTAACAAAACTTATACCAAGGAGGATACAAAACGTAAAATGTGATAGGGGATTTGACTAAGAGAATGAAATGCAGAGACAAAATTGACTCATTTTGGAGGAAGAGGCGTAAAATCAACAACTGCTGCTCTCCTCCTGTTATACTGCCTTTTCTTTTTCAACTCTGCTGTAAGCTTTCCAACCATCGTCTCCTTCACATCTTTCATCTTCTCACATTATAGGTGTATTTATGCCTCTGCTGTTTGTCTCTGCTCATGCCCATGGGTAGAAGGTTAGGACTAATATGACTGGTCATAGATCTAGCAGTAAAATCTGCCCCCAGCCGGTTGTCAGGCTAGACAGCTGAGCATGCCCATTGTCAGTTCTTTGGAAAAGGGATGGAAAGGAAGCACTGGCTGCTACCTCTCAGTGACTGATGTTAATAGTTAAACTGTGTCTGTATCTGTGGAAGTTCTTGTGTTTTTCTCCGAAAACTAGTAGATATTTCTCTTGAGTCAAAGAGTTATTGGGGAAACGTGAAATCTGTTACTTCGAGAAAAGCAATTTTGTTAGCCAGTCAGGAAACTACTATGGGACTTACAAACATTTTAAGCTTCATAAATGCTTTTGGTAATATACCTGCATAATTTTTTTTAATGACTTTATTCATTGCACACATTTCTTCAACCTGTTTTTTTTTTTTTAAAAAAAAGTGTTGTTTGTGTTAATATGAACAAATTGGTTTACGCTAGTATACTGCTACATTATTTTACCTTTCCTCCTGTGTGTGCAGCATTCTGGTCCTGAAATAAAATGGGTGGATGGAGGCAAACAGCTGTTAAAAATATCCACACATCTGGTTTCAACTGTGTATACTCAGGTGAGTTGTGAAAGAAATTAAATTGGAGAAAGTCTAAGGAATAATATGTTTGGTTTATGTACGTACAGTATTTGGGAAGATTATTGAACTCAGTATGCTGACCTCTTACTTTTTGTCTTTTGACACTGTGCATGGTATCTTTCACATCAGCTGTGAAAAAAAGCACGCCTTAAATAGAAGCTATTCAGAATGTAAGCCTCTTGAATTTTAAATCAGATGAGAAGTCATAATTGTTTTAAAGTTATTTACTGGCATTCTAATAGCAGCGAGGCCTGTTATAGCTGCTCATAAAATACGTATTATGATCAGTTGGGATAATGTAACAGTAAGTATGCTGTTTTCTGCATGTCGGTTGTCTTGAAGCAAATATAGGTGGTATTTTGTATAATGGGTATCCAAAAACCACTGGAAATTTCTTAAGTTGGTTAAAAAAAAAATAAATCAGTGTTACATGTAGACTAAATAGTCTTCTGAGTAGTGTACTTTGAATTTTTTTGAAAATTGAATGTATGGATATGGATTTCTACCTATAAATATTTTTAGTGTATTCTGTTTTGGATTATGGATAGTGATGTTAGATATTGTTTAATTCGTTGGTCTTTTTATCTTTGACAGGACCAGCACTTGCATAATTTTTTTCAGTACTGTCAGAAAACAGAGTCTGGAGCTCGTGCACTAGGAACCGATCTTGTAAAGTATCTTAAGGTATAAAGTGTCAGTGAATAACAGATTATATTATTTATTTATACTTTTGCAAAACCTAGGAGCTTCAGGCATTTTCTCTCATTAAGGTCTCGTTAACGGAATATGCAATATAAAAAGAACAAAAAGATACTTTCTGCCCTAGATAAATTTACAATTGCAGTGTAAGAGGAAACCACGAGGAAGTAATGAGACAGTATCGGTCAGCCTCATGAGTGATAATTTTGAAACACTAATGGCTTAGTTTGTGTGGTGGTTTAACCCCAGTCATCAGCCAAGTACCACACAGCCGCTTGCTCATCTCCCCTTCTCTCCCACTGGAGGAGAACCAAGAGCAAGAGTCAAGAAAATTCCTGGGTTGAGATAAGAACAATTTAATAATGAAAAAAAAAAGATAATAATACTAAAATAACAATAATGCTAACAATATAAATATTACTACTAATAAAAAGTAATGAAAAAATACATCCACTACTAATAAGGATATGTAATGGAAATAATGGAAAAGAAAACAAATGATAACAACTGCTCACCACCCACAAAACAATGCCCAACGAGTTCCTGAGCAACGAGAGCCAGACCAAGCCCCAGAGAGAGAGAGTGTGTGTGCCAGAGCAAGCCCCATCTTATATACTGAGCGTGATGTTTTATGGCATGAAATGTCCCTTTGGTCAGTTTGGATCAGCTGTCCTGGCTGCGTCCCCTACCCGCTTCTTGTAGAGAAGGAGCTGGGAACACAGGGGCAGTATCAGAAACTGAAGAAGTCCTTGGCTTGATATAAACATTCCTTAGCAACAACCAAAACCATTAGCATGTTATCAATATTCTTAGCACAACCAAAACATAGGTTCATCCTAGCTATCTCAAGGAAAATTACTATCCCAAGTAAAACCATCACAGTTTGTCAACATAATCAAATTAACCTGCACATGGGAATTGTCAGGAATGCTCACTCTTGATTTTCTAAAGTTGTGTTTAGGATGTCATCATTGTCTACAGGATGAGATCAATAGAGTGCAATTTTGTCTTGACCAAGTAGGCCAGATTTTTAATATGAAGCTCAGTCTTAATATCTATCTAAGGTATTGCAAGTAACTCTTCATTTTCTTAGGCACAGCAGAGTTTATTGTTGTAACTGAATACCATCAATCAGTAAAACTGAACTGTCTACTCAGGACATTTAAGAATTTAACTGTTGAATGTGGCACACTTCTGAACTGAATTTGTTTTGTGACCTTGGTTATGTCAAAACCATGGCTCTGAGTCCTCTTCCTTGCCCCAAGGCTTCTGTGATCAACTTTAGTATGAAAGAGGACACAGTACATTAACAGCAGGAAGATATAATAAGTCTATTTAGAAATGGGTTCTTTTTATTACTACCATTTTTTACTGAGAGACCTGTTTCTCAATCTTCTATTTGTCCTTATTCTGAAATGTTGCAATCCCAAAACCTGCTGGCAAAGCAGATGTCACTAGTACAACCCATTAGAATGGATTCTGGCCATTTCAGCTTCACATCAAAAGGGTAAGGCAGAGAACAAGTAGTCTTGTAGCTGAACTTCATCATCCCCCTTGGTTACTTAGAATGAGTCACTAGAAGTGCCTCTCACTTGGGTTTCTGCTACTAACATTCTTGTTTTGATACAGTATGTTGTTTTTCTGTGTTTATCACTAAAATTATCTGTTTCGAGTTCCTTGATAATTTTAGATCTGGAGCCATCCTTATCTCCATTGCTTTCTTAAGCAGTAATTATACCAAGTAGTCCCCAGTTAGATGGCACTAGCACTAAGGCTGGCAGTGTTTTGGCTTCAAAGTCACACCCTGCAATACCAAGAAGCCCTACTGGAGTTAGCGGCAGCTTATGTACAGAATCTCTCCCTGATAAAACACTTAAATATCCTCTGTCATCGTGACACTTTTCAAAATACTGAATCTTTCTAACTGTATATATGTGGTTTGTGCTCTGAAGAAATGTGTCTGATAGAGGCAGAAGAGAAGAACTGCTGCTTCAGAGTATTTCGTCTTGCCTTGAGGCCAAGGGAAATATTCCATCTTTCCCCAAGTAACCTTTCTGGGAGACTACAGTCCTGCTGTCTGAGATTTCTGTTTGAAGAAGGGAATCTCTTCACCTCTCACTTCCTACTGTTTGTACTTTTTTGGCAAGGGGTTTAAAGTTACTGGTTTTCAATGCCTTCCCATGTTCTATCGAAATACAAACAAAGGAAACCCAGGTTTTTAGAATTCCTAGTCATAAAAGACATTCCTCTCCTTGCTGCAGTTTTGCCTTCTTGCTGTCTGGTTGTGGTTTTGAAATCAGTTGGGACACCAAACCTTTATCATTGGACTTTACCTGTCTTTTTCTTCTCTCCATATAGTAAGGATGATATGTTCTGAGTATCTGTCATCATGAATTAGAGGTCTTAAAGTCTGACCTGTGGCTCATTGAAGCTCTTTAATATTGTCAGTATTGTTTCAGTTGCATAATTTTTTTTCAAGAGTTGTAGCCTTCCTGCTACTTAAGATGCCAGAGAAAATGGCAGATGTTTTCTGGTGTCAAGAAGAAAAGAAAGATTATTGCCCATATGGGACCTCAGGGAATTGAACTTCTATTGATAAGTTTAGGTGAAAAAACAGAATTGGTTCTTTCTGGTGCTGAATATGAAGCAGTTGGTCTGGGAAACAGATGTTACATGAGAAGCATGATTATTACTAAAATCCTCGCCATACACAGCAAGTCTGAATCACTAATATTAAAAAAATCAGTTTGCATACCATGGAGACCCTTTTTACCAGGATCTTGAACAGTCATTGCTGCCATGTTATGAGGAATGGAATGGCCCTGTACTTTGGTGTGGGCAGTTGGTTGATTCATGAGCTGAAGTTGTAAACAACCCTCAGTCACTTTCTGACCTGTTTGGTTCATCAGAATTCACAGTACTTCAGGAAATCCCACTGTTTCTTAAGTTTACCAGTGCTCTACTTGAATCTGATATAATCAAAATTTCTTCCAGGGACTAGCATGGCAATTTCAGGTTTATCTTGTTGCCTGCTGACTGTCAAAAATGACACTTGGCTGGAATCAAAGGCTTGATTGTCTTCTTGACATTCACAACTCTTGTTAGTCTGGTAGAAAAAAAAATTACCATCAGGTATCAAAGTAATATTTTAGGGAAAGCTCAAAAGAACATTTCCTCAGATCACACCCAAATCACATAATTCACTTTAGTTGTATATTATCACATACGCTGTAATAAGTTTGAGTAGCTTATTCCTTTGCTTAAACACTGTAACGGGTACAAATTGAAAACAGGGAGGTTTAGATTAGATATCAGGAAGAAATTCTTCACAGAGAGGGTGGTGAGGCACTGGAACAGGTTGCCCAGAGAAGCTGTGGATGCCCCATCCCTGGAAGTGTTCAAGGCCAGGCTGGATGTGGCTTTGAGCAACCTGGTCTAGTGGAAGGTGTCCCTGCCCATGGCAGGGGGGGTGGAACTAGATGGTCTTTAAGGTCCCTTTCAACCTTAATCATTCTATGATTCTATGATAATTCCACAATAGCAGTATCTTTAGGTTCAATGACAAGACCATGTCTCGCCAAAGTCTCTGGGACAGAATAGTGCAACCACAGAGCTTCTTTACAATTTTTGCTTGTTGTCTGGCACCAGAACATTGTCACTGCACAGTATGAACATGTTCCACATGACTAGATTAACACATCATACTGACTCTATTGCCTTGCCCTGTGGTTAAAGAAGAAAAATGGTAGGTATCTTCTGTGTTAAATACAAATTACGACTATTCTCAATTCTGTTGGGCCAAATTCCTCTCTAACTAGGCCTCCCAGGAACCCAAATACTTTTTCCTTGTGTGTATTGAGAGCTTGCCTTCTCTGTGGCAGCCTGTACCCACCTGTGCCAGGCTTGGCTAGCCTGTGGGCTCACCATTTTCTTAAAAAGGTCAATGTTTCAGGTTGCTTGTGACTGTTTCCTGCAGGCAACGTCTATGCTGTAGTGGCAGAGACACATTTAAATACCTAGGCTTTACTTTCCTCCGCAGTCAGTGTGCTACTGGCAGAGTAGCTTGCGTTACTGAACCTGACAAGTGTTCTGTTCTCTGTTCTATCTACTCTTGCCCTCCCTAACAGGTTTTTGTGTAAGCAGTCTGCCATGTCTAATTAAAGGTTTTCTGTGACTCATCTGACTCAAGATGTTTGTATGCTCTCCTTCATGTTTCATGAGCCCAAACATCACTTAGCATTTCGTAAATTGAAGGATCTTCTTGTAGTTACCCATATTCCTGCCGGAGAGATTCTGGCAAGCTAAATGTAATTGAATATTCTCAAGGCATCAGATGCTTGGGTAAAAGTCCACTCCAGAGTCCTCATTAAAGCAGCACCTTCACCAAAAATATATCTGCATCCTGGACAAATGTGTGAGCTGAAGTTTCATTTGCATGTTTACCTAATGTTTTCATATTTAGGACTTAGAGAAAAGATGCCGTAGCATATGACTGCTGTTTCCAAGAGAAATCATTTATTGTGTAGGAAGGAATCATAGAATCGTTTGGGTTGGAAGGGACCTTAAAGATCCAGTTCCAACCCCCCTGCCATGGGCAGGGACACCTTCCACTAGACCAGGTTGCTCAAAGCCTCATCCAGCCTGGCCTTGAACACTTCCAGGGATGGGGCATCCACAGCTTCTCTGGGCAACCTGTTCCAGCTCCTCACCACCCGCTCCGGGAAGAACTTCTTCCTGATATCCAATCTAAACCTCCCCACTTTCAATTTAAACCCGTTCCCCCTTGTCCTGTCACTACAGACCCTTGTAACAAGTCCCCCCCAGCTTCCTTGTAGCCCCTTCAGGTACTGGAAGGTGCTATAAGGTCTCCCCGGAGCCTTCTCTTCTCCAGGCTGAACTGGAAGACTGTTTTGAGACCTGCATTAAGTGTGAATATGCCTCGAGGCAAACATTCAAAGGCAAGGCAGCTGCTTAACACTGAATAGAAATGTTTGAAGTGTGGTGTCTGATGCATGTTCAGCAAATACAGTCTTTTTTTTTTGTTTGTTTTATAAGCTCCCTGTAACTCCAGGGAGTATTGTGGCATAAAACAATGTAGAATGAAATGCTATACACTGCCTTTTATGTCAGGGTGGTTATGTCTAATATCTTTGGCATGTGATAGAATGCAAAGGCACATCATAAAGAAGTTGAGTGGTTAGTAATTCACTGTCTCCAGTTGCCAGCATTAGGTAGTTAGGGGTTTTAGTTAATTCTGTTTTTCAATGTTAGTTTAATATTTTGTGCAGTAACTAGTGTTAGACAGGTAAGTTATCTGTATGGTTTTGTGGAACTTATGTTTGCTAGATGTCTGTACTGGGGGATGTCATAACATTGTATAGCAGCATGTCAGCATCACCTTGTTGTGGTGTACACAGGTGTTGTTTTCATTGAAATGTTACCTCGTATGCACTTCAGTGCAAAAGTACAATTAACTACTTCAGAAATCCTTTTAATAAAGCCTAATTTTTATCCCCTATTTACATTAATATGGAAAATAGTTGCCCAACACTTATGTTGGAAACTATTCTTAATTGCTTTCTGTGCAACTATTAACAACTGTATTGTGTAGTTACACTGTGTTGTGTAATTAACACCAAATAGTGCAAGCAGCATGTAGTTTTGGAAAAAAACATTAAATTTTATGGTTTCAGAACTTGTGATTGAAATGCCGTTGTTTCAAGAGAGTGACAGTATCACTGTTCTCTTTTAGAGCCTTCATGCTATGGAAGGCCATGTGATGATCGCTTTCCTGCCGACTATTCTAAACCAGCTCTTTAGAGTCCTCACTAGAGCGACTCAAGAAGAAGTTGCAGTCAATGTGACAAGGTAAAGAATTTTAAGTGCTTCATAGAGTGTAAGCGATGACTGGGTTATCGCATAAATCTGTAACAGAGTAGCATTTTTGCTATTGCAGTCGTAACTTTCTTTGTAGGCTTACTTGTTTTCTGACTTTTGTTTAGGGTTATTATCCATATTGTTGCTCAGTGTCATGAAGAAGGTTTGGATAGCTACCTGAGGTCTTATGTCAAGGTAAGTAAAAAGTAAATGAAATATTTCCTTTTTTTTTTTTCCCCTCTCTCTAAAAAGAGCATATTTAAATTTAGATGCATCTGTTTAATTTCAATTGTTTCATGTTATGTCATGGTTTCATATTATATTCTATTTCCTCCCCAAGTATGCTTATAAAGCTGAACCCTATGTTGCTTCTGAATACAAGACAGTACATGAAGAATTGACAAAGTCCATGACCACAATTTTAAAGCCATCTGCTGACTTTCTTACAAGCAACAAGTTACTTAAGGTATATATTGGACTGTACTTTTTACTCTATGTTCTTATCTGCTCAAAACTGAAGAACAGGAATTAATTGTATTGAAATGGTTGTTGAATTCATGTGGCAATTTTACAGAATATTTTCTTTTTTCTGCAGTATTCATGGTTTTTCTTTGAAGTTCTGATAAAATCAATGGCTCAGCATTTGATAGAGAACTCTAAAGTGAAGGTATGTCAACTTTTGGGGGAAAAAAAAACCCAACCCCTCATTCTAAAGAGAATTTATGTAGCCTCTTCTTTCTCCAATGACATTTTTATTGCATATTAGGAGAAAAGGTGCATGGTTATGATTTATATATAAAAATTTTATTTGTAAAAAGCAAAGCAGCCGGAGAAATCAGTTGAAATACTAGATAGAAAACACTACAGGGCTAGATTCAACACTGTTACAAAAGGATAGAAACTCCTTCAAATCCATACAGTAGAGCAGTCTGTGTAAATCATTGGACACTTGATTAAGATTTCCTAATACTTATAGTACAATGAAGCTGGAAGCCATAGATATCACTGGAGTTTGTAAGTAGTACCCAAAAATATGTGGGCTTTTTCCTGAGCAGTACAGTAACTGTGATCTGAGAACAGTGTGTCTCATCAGTTTACAGTTCTTCTGTATGTGATAAGAAGTATCAATATTTAATTCTGTGTTATTTCCTATGCTGGAAGGACCATGCTAAAATCTTAGAAACAGACATTTTCCTACCAGGTTGTCGTATGAGTAGTGTTCTTCCTGCACTAGTGATAACTTCTCCATTTACCTGCTTCTCTATTAAAACATCTTGAAAGTAAAGTTTTAAGTCTGCAAAATAGTCGCAGCTGAGTGATATACCAGGTTGATCTGAAATCTTTATTAGTATTTTCACTGTGTATTTAGAACATAACTGGAAGTCTGAAATACACGACAGGGGGATGGGGCTAGGGTAATTGTTTGGACAACGATCAGGGAAAAAATTTGGGAGTGCTAAACTTAAACTGTTCTGCTGTGGTATGATCAGTGGAATTTGAGTCCCAGTTCAACATTGTGTCTGGACTTTCTGTTTCAATAGATTTCATCGTTGAAGTTTTTCATTTTTCATTTAAGAAGCATGTGAGCTTCATGTGATAATTGATCAAATGAATTTTTCATCATTAGATATTCTCTAAAGAAATGTTTTATGTCCAAATCCTAGTAACCATCACTTTTTCTCAGAACACTAATACAGAATAAAAATGTTTTCCTGTTCATGTTACTGGTGGACTTTTAGTTAGAAGAATTAAATCAGATCACCAGACTTTCATCTAGCAGTAAATTTAAAAAATCTGCCATAATACAGTATTTAACTGGACACATTTTAGCACTAATTACGATACATAATTTACAGAATATCTTAATAATAGAGATGAAGAGCGTGATGTATGGAATCAAGTGGAACTGTGCATTCTACTGAAATAATACATCACACAGTAAAGATATCAGCACTGCACCTTCTGTAGAAACAGAAGGAGAAATCTAAATCTTCTGTCCCTGCCCACGGCTCTGGAATGCAGGAGGAGTTCAGTCAGTTTGTGGGACTCCTCATTTAGTAGCAAAATCAGTTGTGTGTTTTAAGCTTCACTTCCACCTACCTCAGTGTGCCCAGCTATGTTTTATTCTGACTTTGAGTATCTATGAATAGATAAAACTTGCAAAGAATATCTGATTTCATCCTGTTATTTTGCACTTGAAGAGGACCTCAAATTTTTGCTGGTAGTATCATGAGATTATAGCTGCTGTGTTGCATTTTTATAAAAGGAAAAGGAGTTGTCTTCATTTCAAGTGTCACGAAGAAGAGAGTGAGCTCCTTTCTGTTACTAAAAAGAAAGGATTTTTTTTTTTTTTTTTAATTAAAACTCAGCTCTCATTTGGAGCAGTGCTTCTGGCAGTGCTGGAACCTTTATTAGGACATGTTTGTTTAAAAAACAGGTTAGACAGTTGTTGGCAGGAAAGCCATGTTTTCTGCAAAACCAGCCTGATGCACCCTAATATAGGGACATAAACTTTTACCTGCTTAATCTAGAAATAGGTCTTTAGCTTGAGGGCATGGGGAGGAGTTGAGCATTTACGTGATACAAGTACTACAGATTGAAGTATCTTCTGTGTGAAAGAGGGCAAGCTTGAACTGTCCAGGCAACTGTGACAGCTACCATTTGTTTAGGAGTTTTTAGAATGCAGATGTATGCACACAGGGGTTGCTGTGCATCCCTTTGCATTTAAGATGTCAAGCTTCTTGATCTTGTTAAATGATCAGCTGTTTGGGAATTCCTTGAAATTTCTAGCAAAAAAGAAGTCTTAAAACCTTTTCTACCACTAATCAGTAGAAATACTGTTAATGCACACCAAAGTAAGAAAAATATTCAGATGGATTTTTCTGTTACTTGCTTTTTTTTCCTGTTTCATAATATCTGTTCAAGTAATTCAGCATCTGTAAACTGAAATTTCCATTATTGATTTGATGTTCCTTGAGGAAGGAGTTTGTGCCTCTGTTCACTCCGGAATGGAGTATTTCTTATTTCACTCCACTATTTTGAGCTTACTATAATCAGTTTAATTGTATTAAATACATTAATCAATTCAACTGAAATGAATAGTCTTATAAAGAAAAAACTGCTGACTTTTCTTAAAGCTGAAATTTTCTAGCAAATTCTGGAACTGAATTAAAATTTTATACTTTATAATGATATTGAAAAAACCAGAAAAAATTTTTGTTGGTTCCAGTCTGACAGTACTGGCAGTACTTTTCATTTTATACTATCCAGCTCTGTGAGAAGGTACAGTTTTTCTAATTACAGGATGTGGTGCATCTGGGCAAGGTTTTCAAAACATGGTGTGTGTGACACTTGTATAGCTTGAGGATGTTTCCTGTTGGATTTGGTAGGTGATGCCCTGAAAAACAACAACATGTTGGTTTTGCTGGGCCAAACATAGTTTATATCATTTTTCCTGATTTTTAACAAACCTACAGAAATCCTCACAAGTTTGGAAACTGCAGATTGGTTTAAAAAAAACCTTCAGAGAAACCACTAACTTGCTGTCATGCAAACCCATTTCCATAATTTAACTATAACTTTCTTACAATAGGGATTACATTTTTAAATTGAGATCAGATGGTGGATAAAATAAGTACAGTAGAATATCATATTTTTTTAAAGCAGGAACCTGTGTAAACAAAAGCAAATGCAATTTACTCTTCAGAATGACTCAGTGTCCTTGTTCTTAGTGTCCTCTCAGATATCATAGAATCACAGAATGGTTTGGGTTGGAAGGGACCTTAAAGACCATCCAGTTCCAACCTCCCTGCCATGGGCAGGGACACCTTCCACTAGACCAGGTTGCTCAAAGCCTCATCCAGCCTGGCCTTGAACACTTCCAGGGATGGGGCATCCACAGCTTCTCTGGGCAACCTGTTCCAGTGCCTCACCACCCTCTCTGTTAACCATTTCTTCCTGATATCTAATCTAAACCTCCCCACTTTCAATTTAAACCCGTTACCCCGTGTCCTGTCACTACAGGCCCTTGTAAAAAGTCCCCCCCAGCTTCCTTGTAGCCCCTTCAGGTACTGGAAGGCTGCAGCTCTTGTATAGTGTGGTATTCTACCACTGGTGACCATTCACATTACTACTATTTCTTGCTTTATTTATTTTGTAATAGTTTTTAATTATAATTTCTTTCCTCCGCAAGTGCTATACTGAGTCATTTGCTCAAAGCTAATGTCTCTTTACTGACCCATGTAATCCTAATAAGAAATTATATTTGGAGAGCACCAGCATGTAGATCTGAGGAAGAAATTCAGTTTAATAAGTCTCTTCATTTTAGGGAACGCAAAGTTAAGGGAACAGTGTGTCAGTTACAGATGCCTGAGCCTGATTTGATTACCTGATGTTATTGAAATAGTGTGAATTGGGGTGGGCATAGCCATTACTACTACTCATAGAGACTTCCATCTCTTTGTCTTAGTGACCCAAGTATAAGAGATGCTACGGATTACTTTCTTTTTTTAGTAGTAACAACCAGTAGCTGAGACCTAATGGCCTCAGGTTTGCTATGCTTGAAAGACTGAGCAGTTCATTTTGTGCTTACTATTTACTATTTCTTTTTTTTATTAGATGACTTCCTGTACAAACTGTGGTCATCTGAAATCAATTTCTAAGGGTCATTATGACTAAGCTTAGCATTTTCATTAGAATGCACCAAAAGATGAAGGAGAATACAATTCAGTGTTTATTTATGCTTCTGAAGATTGCTCTAGGAATTAGGACCTTTCTTTACACCATTTCTTTCATCAAATCAATTTGTCCATTACATGGGGTTATATATCATAGAAATGCTGAAAGTATTTAAGTAATCTTTCTGCCCTACAAAATTCTTCAAGTAGGCTAAAAATGATATAATTTCATTTTAATGAATGCGTGGTCTTAACAGCGTGGTTGTAAACATGCAATTTGTAGAAGATGGGCTTAAAAAAGGGTATGACTCCTTTCAAAGAAAGTACTAATTGTTAGAGGGGTTTTTTTTTTGTTTGTTTCCACGTTGCCAGAAAGAAGTAGATAAACCACAAAAATATTGATGGCACTTCTAACTCTAGAAGAGACCCCATTTTATTTCAGAAAATAAGGTACACAGTGGGGTGGGGTTTTTTTTATAGATATAATAGGTTCTGTAGCCATCAGTCTCTCTAA